AGGATGCATAATTTGTGTCTCTTTTTCAATCACTAAAGAGACTCTTTTCAAATAACTATCATCATGTGTACTCTATTCCCGACCACTCAAGATCATTATCTTTCCAATTAAACGATATAAATCATCATATTTTTCTCCTTTTATCGGATTGTGCCACCATGTGTGACTTTTAAAAATCCATCTATAATAGAATAATTATATCTTTTGGATTCTAATTGGCTCAACGATATTAGATTCTTAGGTATCTTTGAAACATAAGCCACGCCATCTAAAGTATGGACCATTCTATCAAATATTTTGATTTTTATCGTTTCAAGACTCATAACATCACAAGAAGACATACTAGCTAAAGACACGATGCCCATCTTTTCTTCTTAAAACTCATTAAAATATTTCTTATTATAACATACATATAGCACACATGTAAAATCTAATATACAACTATCATGACAAAAAGTACCAATACTTTTCAAGACTTGTAAGGACATCTCCATAGTCTTTTACTACCATCAAAGAATTTCTACCATCATCGATTTATCTATTCTTTTTTTCAAGAACAATCTTGCTTGATGTGACCAAATGCTTTGTTCAAGTAGCATTGAATACTCATTTTGCTAAACTCTGGACTCAAACTTGCCATTTCAAAATCTAATTTCAGTCGATCTTTCTTTTCGAAACTTTCTCATGATCATCATTACGGAGTTAGATTCTTTTTCTTGATTTGACTTTCTCTATATCGTACAAGATAAAAGTACAACTTGTACTTAATATAAATTCATTGTATCCTTATCGTACAACATTATCATTACGAGTTTTTCAAATGAATCAAGAAAAGATGTAAAAAGAAAACGGGCTCTTTCTTCTTCCTCAATCTTGACATCGACATTGTGTAGTTGATCTTGAGGATAATTACAATATAAGTATATCAACTTTCAACCTTTTCTCAATCAAATATATAAACTTTAATTTTTTCTTATTTGAGTACATCAACTCTTTTAAAACTATCAATTAAGTACGTTCGTCAATTTTTTTATTAATCGATGACATGTCCATTATCCTCAAAATATCAAATTACAATTCTCCTTTTTTTCTCAATAGAGTACATGAAATTTAATTTTTTTAGATAAAGTATATCAATTTTTTCAAAACTCGTCAATCAAGTACTTTGTATCAATTTTTTCATTAATTGATGACGCTTCCGAATACCAATTTTTTTTTCATCTTCCGTTGTAAGAAACTTTCTCCTTAAATTATTCTATCATTTTAAAATTTGACAAAGAATTAAAAAATATATATATTTAGTTATAAAATCTCAAACTAAAATTTGAAAGGCTTGTTGTTAAAAAAAAAAAAAAAAAAAAAACAATTAGGTTATAGGTGTCAAAATTGAAGGAAACATAAACGTGAGATTTTTCATCAAGAAGATTCAATTATGTTTTTCTTCAATTTTCACTTTTAAACTCGACATAGGTTTTTTTTTTATTTTAACAACAACCTAATTGAGTTTAGTTTGGAATTTTAAAGATAAAAAATAACTTTTTTTAATTATTTATCAAATTATAAAATAGTATAATAATTTGAAGAGTTTATTTCCACAAAAAGAGGGTAAAATTATAATTTCATATTTGAATACGTCATCAATTAACAAAGAAAGTGATGAAAATACTTGATTGACAATTTTTTAAAAAAATTAATGTGCACAAAAGAAAAAAAATTAAAATTCATGTACTCAATTGAGAAAAAAGATAAAACTATAATTTGGTATTTTAAAGGTATCGAAACGTCATCAATTAACAAAAAATTGACAAAAGTACTTGATAGATAATTTTAAAAAAAGTTCATGCATTCAAACAAAAAAATTAAAGTTCATGCACTCGATTGAAAAAAGTTAAAAGTTGTATACTTATAGTATAATTATTTTGTTGATCTTGTATACCAATGAAAACATCCAAGTGCTCTCTAAGATTCCTGCCCTTTTTCTTTACCAACTTGTAAAATTGTCGCTTCAAATGTAATTTGTCGATAAAAATTTTTTTCAAATAAAGATTTTCTAAGTTTTTCTATATTGCAAGAGCCAAATCTTCATTCATAACATTATTGATAATGTTATCGATAATATATAGTCGAATTGTGCTCACACACATTGATTTTAACTCCTACTAATGTTCTCTATCTCTTTTGGCTTCTCATCCTTTTCCGTCAATGCTTTAGCCACGTTCTATTAAACAAGAATGCCTTTCACCCTTCATTTCCAAAGAGTAAAACTTTCATTACCATTAAATTATTTTACAATGAATTGAAGCTTGTTATGTGCGGACATTGTTAGCAAGCAAAAGTCAAATCTCCCAAAACCAAAGCTCTAATGCCTCGGTTGTTGGGAAAATTAAGGAACTTGATATTCGACACACCACTAATTCAATACAAAAAAATATAATAAAGATGAATAAAGAGTGGACACACAAGATTTAAAGTGGTTTGGCAAAATTTTGTCTACTCTACAAATTCGAGAGTAATTCTTTATCATGAGAGAAAATTAGCACAAGAATATGATTGTGATTTTATACCTGAAATTCAATCCCAAAACCCCTTGTACAGCCACACCTATACTAAAAAAAAAAAAAACCTCTCAACTCTTGTGTTTTGCACATTAAAACCATAAACATACTCACCTATTTATAATGTCCAAAATTCTTTGTGGACAAAGAATCCTCAATATTCCACTTTATTTATTTTGACCATTAAATTAGTAAACTTTCATCCACTTGTTTCTCAGTTTCCTTTATATATCTTCCATCTACCCTTTTTTATGACCTTTTTAATTTTAATATTTTTTTATTTTCAATATCTATTAGTTGAGCATGAAATGGATTAAAGGGTCATTTCCAATCCAGATTAACACTAACCATGATGAATTAGAAATTATATGATTATGAGATTAAATGATGCCATTAAAAATAGAGTGATGTTACATTACACATCACGACAACTTAATTTGGCAGTACACAGACTTGCAAAGATCTTCATATAGGAGGATTGCTGAATTTGTGCAATAAACTAACAAGAATTTAGTAGTAGTAGCTATTTTGACACAATTATGTTTCATTTTTAGGAATAAGCATGAGCACATATATAATAGAGTCTATATGAATTATAGGAACAATAAAAAAAGATATTGCTCAGGCATCTGGCAACCACAAATTCCACATAATCTATAAAAAGAATGAGGATTATATAAAATTGTGAGATTCATTGAGTTGAGCGTTGCAAGAACCATATTTTTCTATACTCTAATATTGCTACAAAAACAAAGAAAGAAAAATCAACAGTATCCCACATTGATGCTATTTAATTCAATAAACAACTTAAAGAAACCATACCTAATAAAAAAGAAAAATCAAGATTTATCGATAACGACAGGATCTTGACGAGACCATGTAAAACAAAATAAAAATTAAAGTACATGAGTGAGCGGCTGTGGCATCATTCAATTAGCTTTTTCTTTTATATATAGGTCGTTATCGTTTTTTTTTTTTTTTTCCTTATATTTTGGTCTTTACAATTTTACTACTTTCATTTAAGTTGCTGATTTCATTTGTTGAAAATTGGGAAAATCCCATCCTCTTTATTTTTCTGTTTCCTACATCTTCCATCCCCTATTTTTGTGATCTTTTAATTTTATTAGTTTCTTATTTATATGCTCTTTTACTTGAGCATGAAACCGATTTAAGCGTCTATTCTAATCCATTTTATTACTTAAATCATAAAAAATTCAACGTAAACACTAACCTGATTTAAGGGTCTATTCTAATCCAGCAAAACCACTTTCCATAGCATGAGGACTAGTCACCATTAATCGGCTAGCCAGGATTGGCTCGTGTAGCAGCCTCTACTTCGTTATGCGACAACATATTGTTAGGCTTGAGTGTAGGCTAAATCCTGCTTTCGATGGAGTAGGATCTGATGTCAACTTAGCTTAAGGTAGTGCTTTCAGCTCTTGGGTTGAGCTCTCCAGTAGCTGGTTGTACTTATTACAAGCCCTGGCTAATGAAAGAGATTCATGATTCTATACGTTCATAGGCATTCCTGTAGGTGAGAAAATCATTCGGAGCCCTTAGGGGTAAAAGGATGACAGCACAAAATTCGAAGTTAAGAGAAGAGATCAAAGCAAAGACTAAGAGATCAGTTAAATGCGAAGCAAAACCAACAAAAGAGAGGACAAGAAAATGCAGTCTTCTGTTTGTAAATCTATAACAAAAATGATTGAATAATCGAAACCAACTCTTGGTCCAAATAATCCAGGTCCAAGTTCTTCTCTAGTTCTAGAAACCAACTCTTAGTCAAAACAATCCCCTACTGAGTTCTTCTCTAGTTCTAGCAGCAAGAAGCACCAAGGCCATTCTGACAAAAACTCCAAACTTCTGTGGACCAAAAAGTTTCTTATCTTCACACAAATTATATTGTACAAGGAGCAGAAATGAGAATTACACCACACCTCTATTATACATCGACGCAAACAGATTTTAGACATTATATATCTCACCATCACATGTAAGGACCTCGTGCCCTCTTAAACAGAATGGGAAAAAAAAAACAAAAAAACAAAAACAAAAATATTAGGCCTAGCACGAGGAATAAAAAATATATGAAACTAATGTGAAAAATACCCAGTACTACCAACCCATCGAAATAAACAACATGGAAGACTTCTACCGGCTTGTGGCTCAATTTACAAAGGGCGAGTGGTCCTGAACTGCAACCTTTAGCACAAGAAAATGAAACTAATCGCTGCCTGCAACCTGGCTCTCGAACTTGTAGCTTAACCATCTCAAGGCCTAGCAATTGTGCTGTAAAATCAAAAATCAGAAAGCCTTCAAATTTTTGCCAGGAACAGCGATCACAAGTTCAGGAATCCTGGATCCATCATGCTCTATACAGACGCCAGAAACCCAAGGTGCAAGCACGAGCCCAGAATGAGTATGTGTAAAAATCAGAAGCATCTATTATATCCAAGCAAGAGAGCCCCGATCATTTGTTACTTGAGGACGGCCTCTAGTTGGTGTGGGAGGTCTGTTAGCATTCAACTCCTGTCTCATAAGAAAAACAGAGGAAACAGGATAAACATCACAAGATAGCACAAAGCGAACAAGTAAAAATATGAAAACTTTGAAATGCAACAGCACCTGCATCCATGTATCTTCAATATGACGTTCAGGTGAAGCTTCTGGTGATGAAATTGCGGGTGGTAAAGGATGAATGAGTTTTGGAACCACCACAAGGTCTCTTCCCAAAACTAAGATTGCCCCCGCATTATTTGCAGTACCTGCAGAAACAGGCAAGAACAGAATTGCTAAACTAATTGCGAATCTCAGAAAAAATAACTAGATAGTTAAGTTGATGAGTAAATACCACAATAATTGGTTGCAGAGAAAAGTGTAATCAAATGTCCTTGGGCAAAACGCTCAAAGCCATCCATCACACATTCATGAGCACGTACAATCAACTGAAGGTCATTGTTATTGCAGAACTCCATAACACGATCAGGCTGCAAATAAAAAACCATTCTCAATGAGCATAATACAATAGGGAAAAGAACCATGTTAGCATATATATAGCCATCAAGGTGTTTAACCAAATAAACCAGCCAAATGACAACAAATCCTAGAATTGCAATTTTACGAAGAAAGTGAAGTCCAAAAGCTCATGCTGCATCGTATGGCATGAAAGAAATTTGAAAACATGGAAGCGATGTAAGCATAATTAAGTATAAGAACCTACTTTGAGTTAAACTGTACGATTATCATTTTTAAAAATGCTCTAGTAACTCAAACAAACCTTCAAGGAAAACAAGTTACAAGACAACAGACAAATAAGCCGAGGAAACTACCTACTGTAATGAATTAAACACATGCAATACAACTGCTCTTACCCCAAATGTTACCAACCCCGGACCCCTAGCATTTGGTCGCAATCCTTCCACGCTGTCATTTTCAGTTGGATCAGACCTATAGTAGAAGAGAAAAAAATGTCATTACAGACAAATAAGCAAATGAGAGACAATAGGGCAGGAGCACTGACCATAACAAATCCATAAGTACAATTGAGCCTGCTTCCATGGTAATTGGACGCTGTAGGCTCTCAATCTGTTCCACATGATTTATTGAGCGACCGATACCACCGTGCATACAAATGATTTTCTTCTCAATTAGTGCTGCCAAAGGAAGCCAATTGAACAATCGATTTATCCGATGCCAAACCCAAATTCCATCTCTCTCACCCTGTTCATCAAGCGGTTTAGATTGTTACTAACAAGTCAATAAGATACAGACTGTCAAATGTATGTAACAAATTACCATTCGCTCGATGCACTCAATCCGGAAGCCAAAAAGAGCATTGATATCTGCAGCTTCATGGTTCCCACGAATTAAATGCACATTGTTGGGATACTCAGCCTACAACAGTCAAACAATATTTGCACACCTCCCATCAAGATCCAAGGCAAAGTTTAAAGTGAAAATAGAAAAGACTATTTATGTGTAGAAGAAACAATCTCTCTCCACCCCCACCCTCAAAAGGAGGGAGAGAAGCAGCCATGCCGAAATACCTTCAGAGCAAGCAGAAGAGTTATGGTCTCCAGGCTATGCTGGCCCCGATCAACATAATCTCCTAGGAATAGATAGTCGATATATCTGACAGTGATGGAATAAAATTAGCCTCCTCCAAATCCTAAAAACAAACATGTAAATCTCTGCATGTGCGTGTTCATGTTCAAGCATCCATGTTCATACAGGCATGAAAAAATTATGTATACAAGGTAACTAAGCACTTCCAACTCACATTCCATTCACTACTCTAATCCAAACCTCAATTCCCACGTGCTGCTACCAAATCTTGCAACAAACAGCAAAAAAGAGCACCTCTTCACAGCCTTAGACTAGATCAAACTACATATCCCTAACCCCTTTCTCCTATAACTAAAAGACAAATGCCCAATTTTGTGTATCTTAGCAGCATACCTAAAAGTGCTTGTAGAGGGAATAATCAAAAGATCACCTCTCAAGGTTGGCAAATGGAAAGAAAATTGTACAAGGCATCTGAGTTCACTAAGATATAAATATGGGTAACCGTGGTCCGAAAACATTTTCACCGGACCAATTTGAAATCCAAACCAAAATTAATCCTTGACATCAAGCATTTAAACTTTGAACAGACTAACTCATTACTTAGTATAAGGATTTAGAAATTGCAAACCAGTCCTTTCATGGAGCTTGAGCATAGAGTTCATACTTCATACATCATTTCATGCAAGGGAAATCTGTTGCTTGCCATTCACTAAGGCAGGTTATAGGTGAGGAGTTCCGTATTTTAAAAGAAGATTGCTGAGAAAAATGGTTGCAGAAGAACCTTTGGAAAAGATTATCTTTGGCAGCATATGTTAGGGTTAGATGCAAAACGGATTAAAAAATCAAAAATTCAGCAGTTGATAGGATTCATGGAGAGAAATGGTGGGAGGATATCTTTCTGCAAAATTGATAGGTCAGCTGGATGTGGAAAAATAAATCCACCCTTGTCTGTCTTTCCAGACTTTATCTCATTGTATCAGATAAATAGGCACCAGTGACATGAATCAGCATGAATAATGTGGAAGAACCTATTAATATTCACAAAAATGCTTACGCAATGTCACCAGCAGTTGAAGGTGCACCATATTCATCAAAAAGACGCATCAAATCCCCAAATTGCCCATGCAAATCACCAAATATCTTGATAGGAGCCTTAAGCTGTAAAACACTTGGTTCGCTTGAAAATATCTTTTCAGCACTGTCACAAAGATCTGCTATTTCATTGCAATCTAAGAAAAATTGCCGGCGAACTGGAGGTTTCCAGCCACGAGGCTTTAAGAGATGTGCTACGACCTGATAAAATAGAAGCAGACCCTGTTAAACTACAAAATAGAAAATTTGGCAAGAAAATTAAGTCTTGGTAAGAGATTCAGCCAAAATACCAAAAACAGGTGCAGATCATTTATGGGGAAGGCATACAACATCTAACAAAAATTCACCTCTTACAACTAAAGAATCCAAGAAAAAGAATCAAGTTGAAAATGGGGGAATGAAACAACACTCAAACAAGTCTAAGATGCAATTATTTGACTTCAAACAATTTTCCTTTGATCCATAAAAACAAACGACTTGGAAACTACAACAAAAAACAAATGCTCAACCATAAGGTAGTCCAGAGGAGGGAAAGAAATGACACAATATGCAAAGAGATTTGGGAGAATTAAGCAACTTAGCAGTGTTCTTGTATCCTGAATTTAAGGTAGATGAATCCACGACCTTGGTGCTAATGTTCTAACGTGGCACAACACAAAAATATCCCATAATGAGACCAAAAACAAAAAAAAGATATCAAGTCAAAAGGCAGAAAAGAATAATTATATGGCCCTTGACACCGTAGGTTTCACATCTATTGAAATTAATGCCAAATAGCATATCAGAAGACATGTAGTTCACAATGGAGAGTTATTCGGCTGAATTAGAAAGCCAATATGGTAACATTCAGCAATGCTGAGGTATTCTCTAACTCATCTCAGTTTGGAACGTGTCAACTAAACCCAAGATCTTTACCCACAGAATTAGTTAAACTGAATCTTGACTTCAATCCATGATGCATATGCCTATCTTAGCAATCAATCAACATCTGCATAATCTGATTTATGTTAAAGATAACCCCAGAAGTATACAAATTAAGATGTCAAAGCAAGAGCATTAACAATAGCAATATTTCCAGACTATTTCAGCTCAGCAGCACAAACTTCTCATGTAGTCAGATACCTTTTTTGGCACACTATTGATGGACATTTGTCGATCCAGTAGTTTCCTAGCTGCAGTTGCACTCTCAGGGGTCCCATAACTTACCCGCCTGCCTTCATTTTCAAACTGATCAATTGAAAGCTGTCTGACCATGCCACCTAAAGCTCCACCTGTCTCAGCAGCTACAACAACCTGAAAAAGCAGTAGTGAAACATCAGATATAAATCTGTGTAAATATGCATATTTCATGCCAAAATTGACTTGAGATCATATTCAAAAAGTTTATAAATTTTTTTTACTAACAGCTCTGTGATGTAACCGAACTCCAGCAGGAACAATGTTGTTTGATCCTGCAGAATCAGGCTTAATCAAGGTAGATATTTGTTTCCCACTAGGAGTAGCCTCTGCACCACGATCTCTATCAGGCAGTTCAACTTCTCCATTAACTTGCCGAGCCTTGGCAGCAGCCAGGGTGGCACTGATAGCCTCAGCTTCTGCAGCTGATGCTTCAACCAAATACTCAACGCCTTTGCTCGTTCTCCTGCATGATGATGCACATCCAGCAACTCTTTGAATGATGCATATCTAATTAAATCTAATGAAAATGAAAGACCAAATGCAGTGGCTGGCTTACCTGGGTCCAGGGAGCATGGCGTTCTCCGTGCTTATATCAGTGTACATGTCACCATTTACTGGGGGAGCAACCGGGTTGCCCAACACAACAGCACCATCAGGTGCTGCTTCAGGCATTGTTTGCCTAGTTCTTTCATCTACAAATGCATATCTTCCAGGTACTCGACCAGCTTGTACATTGGATGCAGCGGCTGCAGCTGCAGCATGGGAAGCAGCAGTTGTTGTTTCAGCAGCAGCAAGATCTTCAGCAACAAGTAGGTCATCAAGCAACACCCCTATGCATAAAAGCATTTATCAAAATACAGTACTTCAAATGTCAGGATAAGAAAAGCCCATTGTCGTGCGACTTTCAAGATCAATGAATTAAAAAAAAAAAAAAAAATTCATAAACTGTCTCCAAGATTGAGTTTTTAAAATATTCTTCCAAGGAATACCTATCTATATTATTTACAAGTTAAAACAGAGATCATCCTCTTGATTGATCATTTACATTTAGAAAGAAAAATAAAATGACCCTAAACCAGACTCCATTGCAGCCTGTTAATCTGTGTCAATACATGAAGCATCAGATCAAGTCTTCAAGTCAGGCGGTTGCAATATCAAAAGGAAATGAACTACATCAGGAGATGATAAACTAGAGCTAAGAGTCAAGGACCATATGTTATGCTTCCATTCTAACAAGCCATTGTCCAGGATGATTATAGGCCATCACTTCATGAAGGCATCTTAACTTACAACATGTTTAAGCTTACTGGTTTCCAATGTCATCATTTGAGCCCAATTTCATCTGATATAGTTTCGAATTTCGAAAAATTCCAGCCCTTTTCAGGTTTCTCTAAGAAAAATTCAGAATGTTTGTCTGAAACTGTAAACCGGTTAATGCACTGAACCACATATTATTACAATTAAAAGCCATGTATGATAAATTACAAAATCTGCTTGAGCTTTAACAACGTTTCCATATCTTGTCAAATATACTCCAATGAATTCCAGTAATGTCAGATTCAGCCTTTCACATTCCATTTCAAAACCTATTGAGATTCGTCAAGTAAAATCCTCTAACAGGTGTCCCTCATCCATATTTCCATAACATCCAGATAATTTTTGCTCATCACAACATAGAAATTACCTATACAGCTATTTTGTTGTGTTGGCATCATGTTGGCTAAAAGATCAAAAGAAAATTTGGAAACAAAACACAGCAATTATTATAGAAGTACAGTCATCTCATACCACCACGTAAACCACCATAAATGAATATCAAGTCACCAACAGCTGCGGCTGCATGCCGGCAACGCCTAGTTAACTCAACTGCAGCATCTCCACCAGCAGCATCAGCACTGTACCTGCCAGTCCTTGGACTGGTGACCACAGATTTTGTATCACACCAAACTCCTGCTGCGGTATCCAACACTATACATGGGAAAACATGAGGTTATTGTTAGAATTCTGGGCAGAATCATTTATGAAGACAATACAGCAATTAAAACAGTAATAAATAGAATCTTATTATGAAGGATTAGATCGCAGGAACTGGATTTTAAATTGCTCCCAAATCCACACTAAATTCAAGCTAAATAAAAAATCTGACTGCTCATGGCATCAAATATAAGTTATTTGACACAAATATTTCATAATTTTCAATATCCGCTGCAAGAGTCCTGCATCCTTATAGGAATTCCATGCATAGCACTCAGATAAATAAGATCTCCGACATAGTTACATGTACACCGTAAAACAGGTTAAATGAGGTATCTGACAAGAAAAAAGGCAATCTCAACCACCTAAGCTGACTAGATGGCTAAGTATTTGCATGCCTTCTTATCCTAGAAACCCACTGTTAAGTAATGTGTCTAAAACCATCTCATAGAATACCGTAGGTAAAAGTACTAAAGATTGAAAACTCAGGATTTACCTGCAACACTCGATGAATCTTCTACCATGCGACCACCACCAAGTGCCCCTCCAGATACATGGAGCCTAGCATTTACAAAGACCTAAATTCCCAAAATTGATGAGTGATTAATCTTTATGGACAGAAGTATGTCCATTAAAACACCATAAATTCAAGCAAAAAAACCTACTGCTGCATGTTGATATCTTGGAGATGGAGAGACACCAGGAGCAATTGCCCATTCCCAACGGCCATCCCTATGTTTAGCAAGTCCATATGCACTTGCAAGTGGCTGAAAAGGTCAAGAGGCAAGGAAACAAGCAACACAAAAAAATAGGTTAACAAAATCTCACATCACAGACAAAAAATATCACCATTATCAGAAACAAAGTAATTTCACTACGTTCTTCCCAAAAAGAAACTTTCCAAATGAAATTGAGACTAAGGAAAAAATGAAGAAGGCCATGATTTCAATACTATAAACTCCTTTATTGAAATATATTATTCCTGTAATATTGTCATTATCTAAAATGTGTGCAGAGAACATAGAGTTGTACAATCCAGTCCATTCCTGGCAAAGTTGATTAGGAAGTTGTGAAAAATTCCAAGCAATTAAAAAACAAATTTGAGAAACGACAATAATCAATCAAGAGTTTCCAGATCATGGCTTTCTTCAAAAACGAGAATGGCACAGAATTGACATTGACTACAAGAAAATGCATAAGACAAGTTTCCAGATCCCAAAGACTTCAACCGTGTCACAAGCCTTATTATGGAGGGAAAAAAACAGCAAAAGAAAAAAAAATCATTTTTCCCTTCAAATGCTTAGGAAACCTAGCAACTTTTCTCCAAAATTCATCTCATTCTCTTTCATATGTGGCTATTCTAAGTTGGATTATCTAGATTAATAAAATGAATAACCACTAATGATTACTTGTGTGATTTTACAAAGTTCTTCCCAAAAAGCTGAAAGAGTTATTGTCATTATTCATGCAGAGGACTTTGTTTCCATTCTCAATTTCATGTATTAGAAAGTTTAGCAATGCCATGCAGCTGTTTGCCAACAAAGTTGTAACAATTTGCATTCTGAGGTTGCATACCAAAAGAGAAAATTCCAGAGAAGATCTCTTGAAGCAATCAATATGTGATAAACAATAAGGCCCATCAAGAACTATTAAATATTCTGAGATGTATCTACTATAACCAAACATTATGCATGTCTGAGCTTTCAGCTTACCACACTATTTGCATCCCTGCCCCCACAAAGCAGAAGCAGACCATCTGAGCGTGCACTTGCAGTTGCATACCTAGCCAAGTATAAAGGATAAGAAGTGAGCTAAAACTTCAGATATGATGAATGAACTACAAAATAAAAGGCAACAAAAGCCAACTAAGCAAAATACAAGCAGACATTTGTGATATCAATTCCAAACATGAGGCTCCAATTTCTAACCTGCAATTCATGTTACCGGCATTTACAAATATTGTCATTGGCACATGGATAAATCAATCTTTCCATCTTTTTCCACAATGCATGTCTCCTTCTCTCCCTCTACCATATTTATTTTTCATTTCTCAGATAGAAGATTCAAGCTCAGATGAACGTAGTGAAAAGGATACTGACAGCAAAGAGACCATGATTTCTATAACATGGAGTCAATTTGCAAAGAGAACATGAATTGGATATTGTCCATTTTGAAATGAAAGTAGCCGAATGCAATATTTTATCAATTGTTACCAACAGCAGAAAAGTCAGGAATTACAATTGGTTAAGCCACAACATCCAAACAAACATGAAGTTAAGGCTAAAGTTTGTGCTTATATACACACAAAAGATTATGCTAAAAAATTATTGATAGGCACACATATTCAGTAGTAACAGTATATCTAAATCACATATTACGTTTGCATGAAAGAGAGGGTTTTACATGCACGGTGGTGGGCCTTCCCCTTCCGGTTCTAGTTTACGCCATTCATAAGGTTTGGCAGCTGTGTCCAGGGCCCATACATCAGACAAAGGCCGCTTTCCTGAAAAGCATAAACCAAAAAAATTTTAAAATACATTAAAGATCTTCATGTGTGGACATACGTGTGCTTGTAGTAAAAACCAACACACTGAGTTTCACTCCATGTTCAACACAAGTAAGCTTTGGCTGTAAAGTCACTTACCATCATTCCCTCCGATTGCCATGAGATACCTCTGACCGACCAAAGCCATCACATGCCCATATCGTGGCCCTGGTCCTGGGCCTTGAACCACCACTCTACATGAAATTAAAATTCACATAAATCAAAATTGCATACTAAATACAAGAGAATGAGCAAGCACTAGTAAAGATGCCAACCTATGCCACCGTGGCCGTTGCTGTGTTAGGTCAAGAACATGAAGATCCTCAGCAGACAAACCAGCTGGACCAATTCCACCCTGTGTTGAATGTAAAATTCAAGTTACAACTGAACGGTTAACATATAGCAAAGTAAAGATAACTATCTGTTAAAAGTCATAAACTTGTGGGATAATTTGTCTGATGTTCACCTGAATTACTACCATAGTTCCCACTGCAGTTGCCACATGGGCAGCCCTTGATGTTGGTGGTTCTCCGAATGGAGTAATCCTGAAAAAATGAGTTCATAATAAATAATCCCCATAACAGATAAGAGGAACAAAGCAGTACTTTAGAGTAGGATCGGGCTCACGAAATGAAGATTCCACATGTTAGGCTTACCTAGACCATTTATTTGTTAACACATCATAGCAGTGAACATCAGCAGTGGCGCCTGCTAGTCCTGCATTTAGACCAAATCATAAAGGTAATGAAAGGTCATAAACCATTATCACTGTGAGACACAGTGGATAAAAAATCCATCATCTTATATCATTCTTTTGTATCAGACTGATTCAAAAGAATGAAATAGCAACCATATGCTACTTGGATTCAAGAAGATTAGTATTGAATATAGGGATGCCATAAGAGCTAGGATATCCAAACGAATAACCTTAGGGAAACTAAACATTCATTCATTTAGCACCCACGTGCAGCTTGAACTAGACTTGTGCTTTTTCAAATCACAGCCTAAACGAATAATATTTGTAAATCACATCAACTTAAAAGCTTCACACACCACTAGGGTACATCACCATTCAAAACAAAGACATGATGAGCATCCTGAGCACCAAATAGACTAATGAAATAATTAACAAACGCCTGGTGAATTAGCTGGACTCTGACAACAGTAGATATCAAATGCTGCAAGTAAAGCATAACTAAAAAAACCGTAAATCAGTGCCACACGTGATTTTGCAGCTTGAATTTCTCAGTATTCAATGAAAGAACGGTCAGGCTACTTGGAAGCTGAGAACCATAAAGAAATTTGCTTACTTTGTACCAGAAATAATGTGGAACATATATCACCTAAAACAACTTCATAACCAATAGCAGAAAAACTTAGTTCAATCGTGCCTAGATAGAAAACAAAGCAAAATACCCCCTTGAATTGCACTGAATTAAAACTACCCCAGAGTTCACATAACCACTTATTCCTATTGCCACTTCCTACACGAAAAGAAAAAAAAAAAAAATCCCCAAAACACACGGCTTAGGCCACTTCTTCCCATTTAACCAAAATTCAGTAAACTATAATTACCAAGTTCTCAATAGACCTGGTAACAAAACAAGCAAAAACATTGACTAAACTTACATAACCAGCCTCGATTCAATCAAAATTCCCCACACTGTGTCAAAATTTCACCTTATAATCACTAACTTATCATCAAACAATTGAACAACCAAAGAAATTAAAACCACAAATATTAAAAATAAAACCAAAAACATACTGATTCCGGCACTCCCAGCTGAAGAAGGAGTTCCTGTAGATGCAGAATTTCCCTCAAGTGCCGTGGCACCACCAAATAAGATCAACCTGGGTCCAATATACCCAGGCGTGCCTTCTTCTCCAACAGCAGCCACAGCAGTCAAGGTATGTCCACACCTAGGCCCAGGCCCATCCTCTTTCTTCTCTATAATCACATTCACCACCGAATATGTAGGAGCGTGTCTCGGCCCCACCACCGGACTCTGCTGTTGCGCCTGCGCCTGCGCTACCTGCTGCGGAGCCGTTGTAGTAGTACTAGAATCTGTAGCCACCGCCGCAGACGAAGCCTGAGATCCCGCCGGCTGCTGCGACTGCTCCCCTATCTGTTCCCCATCCATTTCCGTAGACGAAGAAGTAGCGTTTTGCACCACCGGATCGTGATCGGTCGCCACCATCGACGCGTCCACATCCATTTCTCAATCTATCAAGCACTAATTTCCAAGATCGGAGCTAAAATTCAAACGAATTCAAATCTTTAATTAACATTCTCGAAAGATTCACTTTGATAATTAGATTTTATCAATTCAAAACCCTAGCTCAAGATCGCTAATTTTCAATTTTCCGCGAAAATTTTCAAAATTAGAAAGGAGAGAGAAATTGAAATTTCTTTTCTTCAATTAGGTTTTCTCGCTTTTCTCTCTCTCTCTAACGTCGAGCAGGTCGAGGAAAGAAAATAAACAGAGCGAGAAAAAAATAAAAACGGAACGGAAACAATTCGCTCTTTCTCTCTCTAAATATGCATATACTTATTTATGTGTTTATCTTTGTTTCTCTCTCTACCTGAAAGAAATATTTGTTTTTTGTTTTGAGTAAATTATAATTTAATTCTTGTTTTTTTAACGATATTACATATTAGTTCTTTATGTTTAAGAATCTATAATTTATATCTAAATTCTTATTTGTCATTGTTAATCAAAAGTGTAGAGAAATTATTAGATATGTCTGATATGTTGTCTTACACAAGTAAAAGTAGGATCCATTATTATAACTATTTATTATTGATTCCAATAGTGTCAGCTGCAAAATCTGCTGATTTTTATATAATATGTATATAATATATTAGTAGTACTCGATAATCTCACAAAAGTATATGACAATTTAGTAGTATAATTAAAAGTATTTATCATCTAACACCAAATATATATATTGATTTAATATCTCGGGTATTCAAGTCATGATAAAGCATCCCAAAAAAAATTGCTTTGGTGTATTTATAATTAGAAAACACTTCCAATTCTAGCTACATTCTAAAAAATTTTAATTTTTCTTGAAGCTAATATTCTTCTTCAAATTTAAATTGCCAAGCTTATGTTTAGAATTTTTTAAAAAAAAACATTATTGAGAGTTTTTTCAATACGTTGAGAATTGTATTTTTATCTCTCGCATAAAGAGGAAATTGGTGAATAATTTTTATGATAAGTATCGTGCTTGTATGAGAGGAGGAGTACAACTACTGATATACTGTAATAATTTCTCTATGACAGGACAACAGCAAGAGTAAAAAGGATTAATTCGTAGTTTTTTAAATATAAAGGATTAATTTATAATTACATTATAAAACCAAGGACTAAATAATAATTTACCCTTTTGTTTTTGTTTTCTGTTTTTATAGATGATGACTGGTTAGTTTCTGTTTGGGTTTTTTATTGTCTAAGAAACGATAGGAGGGGTGATTTTAGGTTTGTTACCGTTATTAACCGGGTTACGGTGTGTACGGAAAGAAGAAGAGCACCGTCAGATTGGGGGTTGACGGCGGAGACAGGGATGGAGTTACCGAATTAACCGGGAGAACATTTAACTATTAACGGCAATAACCGGTTCCCGTTTGTAAGGAGTTGTGCCTTGTTTGCCAACTAATGGGGGAGTCGCAAAGGAATCACACTCGAAAGTAAAGCGCGTGATCACACGCACGACAGATTTGTTTTAGGCATGGTGAGGTAAAGCAACACATCTTGGTTACTCTTAAAGGATAAAAGATATAGTTTCTACAAGAAAAAAGTATTTAAAAAATGAAAGGAATAATGATTTATGAGTATGTAAATAATGTTTCAAATAGTAAATGAATAGTAAAACCATATTAATAGGTGCTATCTAAATATTACTTTAATTATTAGTTTTGGAGTAGCTATGACACATTAAGACTTAGGCATAGAGCCATGGACGGTATGTTAGATCTATATTTCTTAAATTTGTTGAAATCTAAACAATTATAATAAAATAAAAAAATCTCCATTAAAGTTAATATGATACACTAAATATATAACAAACAAGAGTGATCTATATTTCATAAGTGGTTAATAATTAAAGCAACTATTGACAAAACATTAAATCTATAAATTAACGATTAACAACAACATGCTAAGTATGATATGAATTACTTCATATAATATAAAATTTACAAGTTAGCACCTAACAAAATATCAAATATATAACATCGTAGAAAACATCAAAAACTAGTTAGTATAGAAATAAATAAATAAAAATTGACTAAAACAACTCAATTTTATTAGAAAACATATCTATTCAATCATAAATAAATAAAAGAACACATTTATTTTTGGTTATGCAATAGCTTTACAAACATATTAAAGTAAATTATAAATTAACAAAGTTCATAATTAAAATCACTTTTTATACGATATAAAATAAAACTTTACAAACAAATAATATGTATTTATACCTATACATTACGTATGGATTATGAAAACAACATACATAGAACTAATCACTAAGATACAAATTAAATTTTTGGATTATCATTTACAATTATTTTTATATTTTTTATTTATATTTACGAGTTAAATACTTGATGTTGTAATTACTAAATCGAGCATAAACGTATGAAAATGAATATAGATAAATTGACAAGAAAAGAAAGGATAGTGATCAGAAGATAACCACTGTTCCACCTTAAATATATGTAGAGAGAGAGAGAGGCATGAAGTGTGGTGCAATTGAAGATAGGGAAAGGCCTGACAAATACATATGGGGGAGAGGAGGCGCAGGCTAAAGATATTATAATAAGAGTTATGATTACTTTTGGCCGTACTGTCATGAATCATTGGTAATTTACAAACCATATGTATTATATTGTCCTTTGCTGGAATCGAATCAAATCAATATAATAAGAGCAAATTAATTGTCTTGTTTTTTACTTCATACAGAAACTAATCAAAATATCTGCAAATGGGTAAAGAGAGTATACAATAATATGAACAATTCATGATTGGCTAGGTCTAAATCTGTGCTTTCAAAACTCTCAAAAGGGTTAAATTTAAGATGGGTAAGTTTAGAAGATTGTGCATTATTTTCAAAAACTTGTTTGGGTCGCACAAGCTGACGTGAGTTTTGCACGAAATGTGGTTCAGAAAGATTGTGTGCTGGGTAGGGAAAAAAACAAAAAAAAGGCACTATTTTGGGATGCATAGATGAGGTGGAGCCATTTAGACATAGCCACGTGGGCAAGTGAGGTTCCAGATCAGAGTATGATGATGGTACTTCCACGAACAAATATTCTGATGTTTCTTGTCTCCGTGTCACTCTTCGTATAGAAAGCTCTATTTCCTTTTTTTTTTTTTCTTTTTTACGCAAATATGCTTTTTTATGTGGGTCGAGTTTTATCATGATTTAATTTAATTTTAATCAATAAAACCAATGGATGCAAGAAGGATATGGATATGTAGTCTTATTGTGTTTGCCAATACGATGTAAAAAGTTTTTTGCAATTATATATTTTTCTAATCCAAATATATTTTAAAAAATATTTTCAAATGCACTATAAATATATTATAAAATGCAATTAATGTGTTATAATATTAAAATACGGTTTGCACATAGTTTGTGATTTGATAAAAATACCTTTGTTATTTGACAAAAAAAATTATATTTACTATTATAAAGATTAATTTTTAATGAATTGGTTGAAAATTTTGATTAAAATGATAGATTAAAAACAAGAATAAATAAAAAAGACAGATTATAGTCACTTTAAAATATAGGGACAATTTGAAAAATTGATATACTATATAAGAATAGCGGAGGGTATTAACCCCTAAACTTTTGAATAACACTGTAAATTTTATAACACTCAAAGAGAAGTTTTGTAATTTACCTTATTGTTATCCTTATTTATTTATTGAGATAATTACACTACAAGTACACCAACTTTCAATATGTTCTCAATCGAATACATATAATATAATTTTTTCATTTTAGTAAATCAACTTTTTTAAAACTCACAATTAAGTACTTCGTTCATTTTTTTTTTTTTGTTGATCGATGACATGTTCGTTATCCTCAAAATATCAAATTATAAATTTATCATTTTTTCAATCGAGTACATAAACTTTAATTTTTTTATTTGAGTACATCAATTTTTTTAAAATTATCAATCAAGTACTTTCATCAATTTTTTTATTAATTAATGACGTTTTCAAATACGAAATTATAATTTACCCTTTTTTTTGTTGAATGAAATTTTCTCCATAAATTATTTTATCATTTTAAAATTTTCCAAATAATTAAAAAATATATATATTTTTATCTATAAAATTCCAAACCAAATTCGATTAGGTTGTCGTTAAATAAAATAAAATAAAATAAAACTCAAATAGGTTTTAAAGTGAAAATTGAGAAAATACAAATAAATATTATTAGTAAAAAATCTCAAGTTTGTGTTTTCTTCAACTTTCATGCCCAAAACCTAAATAATTTTTTAACAAGCCTTACTAAGTTTAACTTGAGATTTTATAACCAAAAATATTTTTTAAAATTCTTTTTGAAATTTTAAAACGATAGAATAATTTAAAGATAAAGTTTCTCACAATAAAAGAGGGAAAAAAATATAATTTAGCATTCGAACACGTCATCAATTAATGAAAAAATCGATGAAAGTACTCGATTGATGATTTTAAAAAAGTTGGTGTATTTAATCTGAAAAAATTAAAATTCATATACTCTATTGAGAAAATGACAAAATTATAATTTAGTATTTTGAGTATAACTGACACATCATCGGTTAAACAAAAAAAATTGACATAAATACTTAATTGACGAGTTTTGAAAAAATTAAGACATTTAAACAAAAAAAATTAAAGTTTATATACTTAATTGAAAAAAATAAAAACAAGTGTACTTATAGTGTAATTATCCTTTTCTTTATTCTACACCATCCAGCAAAATTACTTCATTTTTTTTTTTCAATAATTCTGCATCTCTCTCTCCCCCATTGAATTGCCACATTGCAGTTTCTAGCTAACATTCCTTACAGGTAAATCTTAATGTGGGCGTCTGTGTATATGTAGTAAGTACAGTTAAATGACAACTTCAAATATGCTTGATGTGTTCGGCAAAGAAGAATGATAGAGTTGTATCATGCACTTTTGATCGTGGGAAATTCCTGACCTGTGAGAGAATCCAATTCCAAACGACAGAAACGATAATTGTACTACAAACACGTTAAACTTTCAAGTTTTTTTCACTTGAGTATATGAATTTTAATTTTTTTAATTTTAGTATGATAATATTTTCAAAATGGATAATAACATGTTATTTGTCTAAAACTACTAATTTATAATCTTGCTTATATATATGTATATATCTATATAAAAGGAATTTCTCCTTCCAAATTATTTTTTCTTTTTCTACGTTTTGAATGTCTATTATACAAAAAATAGAAAAATACAAAATAATTGAATAGAAAGTTTCCTCAAACAATGAAAGGATAAAATATTTCCAGAGCAAATGGCATTTCATTAGACAATTGAACAATTTACATAGGTTAAATAAAAATATTTGTTTGACAATTTTAACGTTTGATTCAAAGAACTGCACTTAGCGAACACCTCCCCTCCCCCACGCTCATGAAACAGCTCTGCCTTTCCTCGGGCGGATTCCTCCTTTTGCTCCTCAGCCTACGGGGTATTAACAGTCGTTTTCAGCTCGTTAATAGTACAAGAAGAATCGATATATTCAAATAAAAAAGTAAAATTTATGTAATCGATTGAAAAAACATTAAAATTGATATATTTATAATGCAATTATCCTAATGATAGAATATTGCATTAAAAGATTGTCCATTCATTTGAATTATGCTTTACATATGGTGCTTGATCTATGTTGAAAACATTGGTACATGAATCCAATCGGCGTGCGTTCAAAAATGGATAATTTGATTGATAGATACAGTACACCTCACTCTTATAATCAACTAGTTAATTAGTGTGTTTAATTTTAAGCAAAGTAATTGATGTGATTTACCTGTCTCATTTCTCATTATCTATGAAAAAACAGTTTACTTAAAAGTGCAAAACAATTTTGATTATTTGTCAAATATTCATTTTATTCAAGATTCAAATCTTTAGTTGTCAAAAAATAAAAATAAAGAAAAACATGTTATGGCTTTGACAGTACGTAATTGATCTAAGTTCTAACCTTTTCACCGAATCACCATAGATCAAAATCAAGTTATCGGGTCTACTATGGCATGGTAGTAATACTCGGTTAAGAAGAATTGAAGCCTGGGCCAAGCCCACACGCTGAAGAACGCGAGATTCGGTCAAGTACAAAATTTTTGGAAAAGCATTGAAAATTTGGGATTTGGCAAATGTTTGTATTTAATGTTCGGGGGTTTAACTAGCTTGATTTTTTTTTCTACGCTACAATAAACAATCAAATGACATTATTATCCCCCTAATACGTGTTTGCTACCTATTTTCTCTCTCCCTCTCTCTTTTTAAATAACAGTTCTAGCCTTTACGTAATAAACTAATTCTTCAATCTTAACCTTTATATTATTTATTGAGTCAATTTTATATTAAATAATAAGCTAAGTTTTATCTTCAATAATAAGCTAAGTTTTCAATATACTATTTTGTAAAAACTCTCATTCCAATCTACGGGTTTTTCCAACTAAACCACAAAAAATTATTCACATTATTTACACATTACTGATCTTTATTTTTAAAATACTTATCAAAATTATTTACATGATTAATTTTTATTCTCAAAATACCTATCTAATTATTCACATGATTTACATACGATCAATTTTTATTTTCAAAATACATTTAGAAATCAATCAAATAAAAAACTTTTATGTACAAATTATATGACTAATTTCGATAATTTAATTTAAAAATCTTATCAGAAAAATAAATTATTCAAAAATAAAATTAATTCATTAAAAATATAAGAAATTAATAAATTATCCTATTATATTAGAACATATTAAGCCATTAACCCAAAGAAAAAGACACGAAACATTGACGCAGCCCATGTACCTATGTAACGGAATTCTTGAGTTAAAAATTAAAACCAACACGGAACAAAAAAAAAAAACCATTGAATCTATAGTCTTCAGAATCTAGCTACTTAAATAGTTTTTTTCTTGCACAACACCATATATATAGTAGCGCTAGCTCCCATCTTTTTCCAACAAATTATGGTTTATAAAACGTTTTGAGGTTGAAAAGCATTAAGTGGCTCGGTACAAGATACAAAAATATGTTAAGACCGATTCACATCATAAAAATACAACCAATCTATCGCATTTTCGAGATGCACAAGAGCTCCACAGACTTCAACAACTCTGGTACTCAAGCTATATTCAAAATGTATTCATCATTTCTTTCCTTCCCCTTCCCCTTCTTTATCACGGAGCTGTCCTCTAGTCGTCACGCCATCGACCATACATATATTGCGATGACTACGAGGTACAAGAATGATACAGGAGGTAGTATATATACTACCTGCGCTTGTATGTAGCCTCACCCAGCATTGAGAGGACCTGTGTTCACTGGTTTCTGGAAGACTCTGACAACTGGCATTCCATCCCCATTATCATTTCCAATCCTCCACGATCGATCCTTTTTCTTCTGAGGCTTTTTGTGATGCTTGTGTGATGCTGACGCTGAGGCACTTGGCTTCTTAACAGTAACCTTATTGGGAGCAAGTCCATTGGCCATGTCAAATGAATTAAGATCATCCAGCACATGTTCAAGGGCGAGTGTATTTTCGCCATTAATATCTGCAGCGTTTTCAATATCGGATGAATCTGACTCGTTTGTTTCAGACAAGCTGGGTCCTGCATCATCATCTTGAACACTTCCTTCCTCATCAGATATTCCTGGGGGCATCTCATAGTGAGTTAGCTTCCCATCGATGTAATCCTTCAGAATTTGGCGGGCAGCTCTGGTTTCATCAGGCAATCCACTGGATGCAACATGCCCTCGAGAGGCACAATATGTCCTCAATAATTCTGATGCCAAAGGAGCTCGAGACTGAGGCTCGTATGGCTTAGGTTTTGGCAGGTTTATTTTGTAGACCTCCTCAATGACATGCCTTGGGACTCGGTTTGCTGCAACCTGCACAGCCTGCCTGTGCTCTGTCATTCTATCAATTGGCAACACCCCTGAAGCAATCATTTCATATCTCGAGCTTGAAAAGGAAGGGAAAACTAATCCTGGGCAGTCACATAAGGTCAACTCCTCAGAAATTATGAGTGTTTGGAAATGCTTCGTCTTCCCTGGAGTAGAGGTAACACCTGTTTTCTTCTGGCCCACCAAAGCATTGATTGTGGAACTTTTGCCCACATTAGGATACCCAACAAAACCCACTACCACATTCTTAGGAGCTGAATGGCCTGAAATGTACCCACCAGAAGACTGAACATTAGATGGGCCTGTGCCACTAGAGACTGATTTGCGTCTCATTCTGACTATTGCTTCTGCCTCAGACTGTAAACGAGCCAAAAGCTCATCCCTTCCATAAATTTTTGTATCGGGGTCATCCATCTCTTGCAGGCTAGCTTGTTCATTCCAAGGGCCATTAAGTATCTTTCCCTCAAGAGCTGCAGAAGCAGCTTTAGCTGACCAGAATAGAAATAGAATCCCATGATGACGAAAATAATCTGCCCATTTCTGCCTGTAGGTGAAGCCAGTAACTCAAAACTTGAAGAGATTGCAGAAGGATAGAATTAAGTAGCAACGACAGACTTCCTACGGAAGTTACCTGACTGAAAAAGGTAAAAGATCAGCCTTGTTTACAAGCAGTAATGTCCTTTTGTGTTCATCAATCTCCAGTGCATATGCCTGCATCAAATATATTACTTAATTCATGCTGCAGTGCACCATCTAGCACAAAAATATCTAACTAATAAAGAAAGGAAGCAGAAAAGTAAAGCAAAAGCTTGACCGAATGACCAACATCTAATAATTTCTTATTTAATTTTTTGACTAGGAAACAAAATGGAGATCATATCTGGGAATCACTAGTAAATTATTATCTATGACCTCTTAAGAGGTCCAATGAATATCAAACATCAACTGTTTTTAAAATATGTTATAAACCAACTGATTATGCTTCTTCATCAACTCATAAATGGAGTTGGTCTAGATAGGATACATATCCCACATAATACTTCTCAATGTGAAGGAAATTTTCCTTATTGGGAGTGTCGTACACCTATATTCTTATCTGTGTGAAATGTAGGACATGATCCCCCACATGTGCAGTTGCAATCTCACCTATTAAAATGATGCTACATACTCCACTTCTTAAGTAGGAAATGGAAGTGAAAATGACAAGAGGAAGAGAGAGAACACTAGTGTCACATTTTAAATAAATAAGATCTCCTATAATGAAATTCTGTAGGAAAGGCCATAACTACCCAATTCAGAACACAAAGCACTGCCAGTAAATGACATGTGTAAATTAAGGCTTTCAACATTGAAACTTGTAATGGACCTTCCACTTCTTTTAACAAAGCATCCTCCTGACCATGTCAAGTTATTTTAACACTCTATTACATAAAAAGCAAAGGCATATATTACCTCAAGATCAGGACAGCGGTAGAACAAGGGGTCTCGTGCATCAACAACCATTACCAACTGAAAAGAACATAACAACATCAAAATTTTCATGAGATAGCATTAAAGGAAAGGTCTAATTTGGTGCCCTTACATACAAATAAAAGATAAAAGAAAAAAAAAAAAAGGGAACATATTGACTACATATAAGAAAATTCAAATGCCTTGTCATAGAGATGTGCCAATCCTCATAAACCATACAGTCAGCATGGCATATTTTAAAAGAAGTTTTAAAAAGTTAAATGCATTAATAGCAGATTTGCTTATCAATAATATCATGGTCAAAGAGAATAGACTCTGCTGAAGGAACTCCAACACCTAAAATAAAGGGATGTGGCAATCCTTATACATAAGACAAGGTATAGTCAGGATAATATCTTGTAAAAGTTATGAGGAAATTCCATTAATTGGAAAACATTAATACCACCCTTTTCACCAAACATATAGCAAGGTGCAGTTAGGATGACATCTTGTAATTGTCTAGGGTGAATTTTATAAATTCATCAACTGCATCAAGTTAACCTGTTGTTTCAGACAGTCATTGATCAAATCATCTTTAAATCCTATGTATTTTGCACTCTTCTCACGGCACTATATATATAATCCTACTGCCTCTTTTCTAGTCCCACTACTTCTCAACAGAAAGCACCCAACTCTTCTTCAATATAAGGGACCTTGAACCTTAGATTCATTTCACTAGAAAAAGAAGAAGAGAGATTGCAGTTTATTGTCCTTTAATCAATTGTTTTTGAAACGCCAAGATACCCTCAACAGTTAAGGTATTCGTTTGGACAGTATCCACACTGCTGGCTTTTTACAGGCAAGGGATCTTATAATTTTCAACAATCTCAGTTTCATATTTCTGAATTCATATGATATCTGATTCTCCAGTGTGTAATGATGTTCATTTCCATCCCCAATAAATTTCTTTTTATTAGGAAAATAACAAAGAAACAAGAAAAAAATAATAATGGAAAAGAAACTAAAGTTGTTCTTTAGTTTTAAAAGCAAGCATTCCCTATATCATGTCATTCAACAACACTCAGCTTACCAAATCACTGCGTTCAAGCACTCGCCAAAGCTGTCTCCAAATATCCAGGTTCTTCTCAAATGGAGTAAGAACAAGATTTTCATTCTCCTCGAGGCTGAAGAAAAAACAATGCCAAAAAAGAAAAAGCATTGAAACAAAAGGAGTGTTCGTTAATTATTAATTACTCACAATGGACCCCAAAAAGAGGAGAGAAACTCTAAATCACTGGAAAGGGAAGTAAACTGTCTTTCAATATGGTTAAGGCTTCACCTTCTAATCCAATTACTTTTCATATTTTGTCACAATTCACAACATTAGTCTAAGTTGAAGATCAGAGAGAATTTGGGTTGACCAATCCACAAACAATATCTTGTAGCATATTATCATTTTACTTCCCACATTTTTTTGTATATACTTTTCTTTCACAAAAGAAAACCCTGTTTGATAAATTCGCACAGCTAAAAGGCAATCAATCAGATTCAAGTTCAATCTACAAAGAACATGACAGACAAAAAGTATTTGCCATGTGTAAACCAGATGTCTTCTCATCTGACAATTTTTACAATATTCATAACAGTCAAAATAACCTCTTCTCCAATCAGCCCTATAAAATCTATTTCCTACAGTCCACCCATACTCTCTAACGCATCCCTCAAGCTAATAGATATCCACATTATGTGTTGCAAAATGCAAAGCTGGAAAAAGAAAAACCCTCAGTGCAGACATCTACAAGTGGACAGAGGAAGGAACAACCAGAGCTCGAAGAAAATCTCAAGAAACAAAATCACGAAACAGTGGTCCAAGATTCGATATGGATGATGCAGGCATGAGATTTGTAATGATCAAATGAGGAGCACACATAGCATCAGAATATAATGAACAAGTTCAAAAAAAAGTTGGACATGGCAAAACTAGAGCAAACCAACTTCATGGAAGAGAAAGGATATCCAGAATCCAAGAAGCAACAAAAAATATCATGATACTCGCTTAAGCAACTGAAGCTCGCTTTTTGGTACCCAATCCCCGGACACAGGATTCAATCCAACAAGCATAGAATACTCATTAGTAAACATTTGTCATCGAGCATTAGGGCAGCCTGTATAGTCGATGTCAACATAGCAAGAGAGAAGACAAGAACAAAGCAAGAAGCAAAGCCACTTATTTAACTATTTGCTCATGTTGAAAAAGATCTCTTTTTGACCACTCTAGGCGTTTGCTAAGAATAAGCAAGATAGCTACCATTGAGAGAATCGCATAATTGCATACTAATGAGAAAACTCTGCACAGTATCTACAACAGTTGTAATAGCCCAGGAAACCTCTCCTTCGCAATGAACTATTGATGACACAACTGAAAAAAAAAAAAAAAAAAAAAAAAAAAAAACAACCAAAACCAATGAACAAACCTAGCAAGACTCCGCCGCCAGATTAAAAAAGCTTGCTTTTCATTAGCATCTAGCTCTTCCACCGACATTCCAGCATTCCACGGCGGCCTAAACAACATAAAATTTACATTTTAATCAAAAACTCTATAATCAAAGAGAAGAAAAAAATGATTTAATTAGGTTCAATAATCAAATTAAAGACTTACCTTCGAGGAACTCGAAGACTACTAGCATGCAAAGCTTCCTCTTTCTTCTGCTGCTCTCTCCTTTCTTCCGGCGTCATACCACCCACTCCAGACCCCGTGTCCCTGTTTAATTCACACCAAAAAAAAATAATAATAATAATAATAATTCAAAAATAAAAACAAATTATAAAAAAATTATAAAATCAATAACTTACAGGTTGATGTGGAGGTTGGGGACGGGATGGTGGACGGAGGAAGAGAAAGAGGACAAAAGGTCGCCGTCGTCGACTTGTCCAATAACAGCGTCGATTTCAGTTACATCAGTGATGGATTCGAGAACTTTCCTGTGTTGTGATTTGTAAAATCGGCCTTTTTCTTTGGATTGTTGAATCATTTGATTGTGGTGCTTTACTAGTGCTCTTCCTAGCCCTGCTTTCTCGTTCTTCCCCATTTTTGTTGTTCTCCGAAATTGCAGACCTTCGGCCGAGTTTGAACAGTTTCTGTTTTTTGTTTTTCAGGGTTTGCGGGGTATTTGTGTTCTTAAAGAAGAAGGGTGGGAGCAAAAACGGTGTCCGGTGGTAAAACGTAAGGTCTCACGTGGGAGTGACCTCAGAGGAACATGGGTTGGACGGTTGGACCTAAAAATATATGGGCCTGATTTTATGTTGTGCTATTAAAGTGCGGGTCCAACAAGATATACCCAAATGAGTTTTTTTTTTTTTTCTTTCTTTCTTTCTTTTTTTAAGAATGGCAAGGACAGTTTGGTTAAAGTAACTTTTTCTATAGCTCTTTAATATAGCTATGAATTTTTTTTTTTTTTTTGGGTACATTGAGTATTTGCATTTTTATTCTCTTTCTTTTATCTTTTAGTTGGCTTAGATTATATTATAGCTTGGTTTTAATTAAATTTCTATTTTTATTTTTAAAATTTGTGTGTTATCTTAATTTTATTGAAAATATTTAGTTTGTCGGTCCAAAAATTTCATTACAATCCCTTCTGCTTCTTTTTTTTTCAAAATTTCATTCTATTTTTTTCTTCAGATTTAGCTATATGTTTGGAGTTTATTCAAGATAAATATGTTTTCTGAATTTCACTCTTTCATCCATTTTCATGAGTAATAATAATTATCATTTTAATATTAATTATTTTAATGTATTTTTTATTAAAAATTGATTTTTTTTCTTTTGTTAATTTTAATTGATCAAATGAAATCTTCATAAAAGGGACGATAACAACACAGCATAAGAAAAAAAAATCTACAGAAATTTTCTTCAAAATAGAGGAGAGGATTATAGCTTTAATTTTTTTTGAAAAAAAAATCCAATATTTTCATGGTATAAAAAAAATTGATTAGGAAATAAGACATTTTTGAAAGAAAAATGTCTAAATTGCTAACCCTACAAAGGACTAATTAATTATTTTCTGCACGTGCGAAAGCAAAAGCCCAAGGAAGAAGCAAGCCAGAAAAATCAGATAACAAACTTGGGACTTAAACATTCTTTCTAACCTTTTTATTCATGCAAAAATCTTTGTCTTGTCTGTCTCCTTGTTTCTCCTCTTCGCATTAATTTTATTCCTCTCTTCCCCTTTTGCAGCATTGCTTTACTCCATCATCATTAACGTTTTCATGCACCAGTAGATACTAGATAATACTCATGGGAGCTCAAAAGAGCATCCATGCTGGCAAAGGTCAGTTGTGAGCAGTATTTTGTTTTATATATTTTCCTGGCCAATATTTTTGTTCTTGGTTCTTTGAATTTGTTGGTTTTTTTTTTTTTGGGATTTTTCTGTTGTCTTAATTTGTTCTGGATTGTGAAATGTTGACATGTTACAGCCAAGATTGATGTGAATGTTGATTTTACTCACAAGCTGTGTGCTTCTTTGATGCTTCCTTCTCTCAGGTTATTTTCTATATATTATCCGTTTCTTTAATTAATTAATTAACTACCAGTGATTGCCACATCTCTCTCTCTTTCTCTCTCACCCACTCACTCACTCTATTTTTGTTCTTTTTTTTTTTTTTTTTTAATGTAAAACTGCAGGAACGCTGGAAGTCCTCTTTCTCTGATAATTGGGAGGTGGGTCTTTTTCTTTTCCTTTATAATCTTTGCCATTTCATTTATTGGATACCAAGTTTTTATTTTTAGGGGGCATTTTGCTCTTTTTCCCCTCTTGTATGAATTTTCTTTGTTTGGTTGCTGAGAAAATGGTGGGAAAAGGAAAAGAAAGGAGATCCTTAAGTTTTAGAATCTTTCTATGTAATTGAATTCAAGAAAATGCAAGACTTTGTTCTTTAACTATGTTTTGCAGACCAGAGAAATGCAAAACAAGATTTACATTCTTGCCTGCTTGCAAAAAAAACAGCAGTAAATTAGGGTAGTTGTTTGACAATTACTTTAATTGGCTTTTTGCAGTCTTTGCATCAAACACCCGAATTTATTTGGTGGAAGTGAGAAGCTTGATGTATCATGGGATAAGGGGCTCTATGATTCAAATGTGTCAATAGCTTATAGAAGGCCAAGACCTGAATGGCTTTGTCAAAAATGTTTTGTTGTTCAGGTCAGTTGCAACAAGCTGTGATTACTCTTTAGTTCTATTATCGGGTTTTGCAGATGGAATAATAGAAATTGGGTTTCCAAGAACTTCTTAATTCGATTTATTTTATTTTTGGCTTAGAAAATCTCAAAATTTTAGGATTTTTAAAAAAAGACACAGAATTGGAAATTTAAAGGAAAAGGTTTGATTTTTCTTTTCCCAAATTCACAACAGTTTTTTTAACTCTTGTTTTGTGAATTATTTTTTCCCAGCATTCTTTTTCACCTGAAATAGGGGTCCATGGTACACCAGTTGACAATTTCTCTCGCACGGGGAGTGGAGGTGTAAATTTGTCTCGATTATCAGTTGGTTTGGATCGAAATGAACCTGCAAGTTCTGACTGGAGGAGCACCACCAGTATCAAATTTGAGGTTCTGATCATGCTTAATTAGCACTTAATGCTTGTATGGTTATTTTCAGCTGCATAATTTTGTTCTTGTCATTCGTGGTTGATTTATTAAGAAAAGTAATCGTTTTGAGCCATGCAGCATGTCCAATTAGTGAACGATGATGGACGCTCTATAACCAGGGATGTTGATGGGTTCCCAGTGACATGCAGGTAGCCTACACTTCTATTATTTCAGTTTCAAGTGAATTCTGATATATGGTTTCCTAATGGATCAGCAAAATGCTTGTAATACAGTGGCAGTCCCCATGACAATATGGTTGTTTTGAAGCAAGAGTCTCAATATGCAAAGGCAAATGATCACAGTTTTTCTCGGGTAAACCATCTTTACTTGCTGATATATCAAGTGTGTATTCATATTTGTTGAGTCTGAGCTGCAGTTTTATTATACAATAGTTCCAATCTCTTTCTTTGATACATAGAAGTGCCAATCATGTTCCTTTTCACTATGAGTTTTCTTATATCCAGTTTAGCATGCAAATTGAACAAGGGATTCCTATTCTATCAAGGTGGCTAATCTTCAACAAGTTCAAATTCATTGCAACAAAAGGAGTCAAACTCGGCCCAGCATTTTTATTGGCAAGGTGAGCAAGTTTTCTATGCTGTCTTGAGTAGGTGCTCCGTATTTGTTAGGGAAAATGGTGATGTAGTGGTCCGAAAAAGTGGGAAGACCCTGAAAACAATGGGTAACTGGGAAGCAGGAAGTAAAGGACAAGAGTCTTTTCATGGGTGTCAGTTAAAGGGCATGTTCTAGGAACAAGGAGAGGTGCTCTATAGAAGCATAAATCAATTCAAAAAATGTAATATATTGGTACTAGGAACTAGAAATTTGCTGGAGAGAACGAAAGGAAATGATATCATAGCTGATAGAATGTATAGAGAGTCTTAATCTGAAATTTAGTAAAATAATGCTTGAAATGAGATGGAGCACAAGCTAAGGATATGCTAGTTATTCAGCTCTCTGCACTCGAAGCTTTCTGCCTGCAATTCTTGCTATCTCCTTGAGAATCTTAGTAGTAGGAAGCAGTTATACAGTCATTCTTCTCCTTCTTTCTTCTTTTGAATGACTCTTACCCTTTTGTTCTGACAGCCTGACAGGTGGTTCCATTGTAGGGGACATGGCTCCTTACCAATCATTTGCAATTGGAGGGCTTGGTAGTGTACGAGGATATGGTGAGGGTGCTGTTGGATCTGGGAGATCATGTCTGGTTGGAAATAGTGAATTGACATTTCCTCTGGTATGTAAGGATGACAAATTATTATAAGATGCAAAAATTTTCCGGCTAATACTGCTGCATTTACAGTTCCTTGATTCTTGACAGAATTCTTAAGGAAGAGGCTCATTTGGTTCTAAATACTTATGTTACAGCAGTACCTTGACTAATCAGAATACTTTTGACAATTTAATAATAGAAAATATACTATTTTATATCCAGGTTGCTTTTCTATTCATGGAGCTGTTGTTTCTTTACAAGATATCTAGTTTGGTGCTATGTTGTCTGTTTGGTGCTGAATGTAGAAAAGCAGATGGAATGAATGATTCCCCTAATCTTTCTTCATAAGTAATAATTACAGTCGTTTGTATTGCCATTTGATTGTAGTTTGTTTACGAAAACATTCAAACATTGACAACTTAGGACAAAATATGGTTGTAGTTTGTTTAGGAAAACATTCAAACATTAACAACTTAGGAGAAAATATGTGGCGCTAAAACACAAAAACCTAGGCGAGACTGAATTAAGGAATAGCAGGAAATGCCCATTTCCGTTGGCTGCATCACCTGTGCATTGGTTCAGTCTCTGAAAGCCTCCTTTCTGTCTCTCTCTTTCAAGGTTTGTTCTTAAATGCAAAATAAAAGAAAATTGTTTGTGCTGGTGGCATGATGATGAGATTAAAACTTATCTGTAATTTGCTAGGCAAGGTCATATTTATTAGATTGGACAATGTAGGCCACAATGCCCTAGGTTTGGATCTTTGGCTACATAAGCAGGGTGATCTTTTCTTGCAAGAACAAGAAATGTTCTTTGCTGGTGGAGAAGAAACAAGATCCTTGAGTGTGTGATCTTTCTTCCTCTTTATATCTTGGAGGATTGCATTGTCAGCAGAAGCAGAATTGAAAAATTCATTCCTCAAAAGAAAAATGAGAAATCTCTATGTTGTGAATCTTTGAACTTAGTCTTGCAGTCATCTTCAATTGAGTTATTGCCAAAGTCATGTCTAGATAAATTAAATTCTCTTAATACACCTGCTGTTTGGTATAGAAGCATTCTAGATGCTGTTGTACTTACTGCTATTTATTACACTATGAGGCACAGCATCCTTACCATGGTCGTTGAGTCTGTTCTTATAGTATGGCTAACTGGGTTTTCTGAAATTCATATGCAAAATCAAGGCCTTTGGAACCTTGCTAAATTGAGATATAATAAGTCCTTTATGTTAGCATCAATGTCAAAGATATAGTTACTGTTGGTTCAGGGATATTGAAGGGACCAATAATATATATGTTTTCTTTCCTAGTGACGGGACCAATTATATGACCGCTTAACTTGCACATCACTTGCTGGAGGTCCAGTTATGCTATGGCAATATGTATATTCTTTTAAGGGTTTCCTCTTCCCTCTTGGTGATGCAATCCTAAAACACATCAAAATTTAAAATAATCAGCCAACTTTTATTTTTGTTCTATCATGAGATTGGTTGCCAGACAGAATCATTGCATAGCTATTGACATTTCCATATTGCCATATTGTCTGTTCATGTCCTCTCATGATTCATTAAAAATTCTGAGTCTAGCAACTCTAGCTGTTATATTGGTGGAACTTAGACATATAATAAGGTGTGGGTCAACTTCATCACACCAGTAATTCTTAAAATTTGTAGCAAAATTTTCTGTTGGAGCTGCACTTCCACTATGTATTTTTACATTCTTAATATTTTTATATATCATAACTGAGTTTTGATGAAGTGATACATGTCAACTCACTTTCAATGCGTTTCTTACTCCATCCAGAATAAGATGCTGGAAGGTGCTGTTTTCTTGGACTGTGGAACTGATTTGGGATCTGGTCGTCTTGTACCTGGTATATTAATTTCTTTCACTTGCATAGGAATTGTGCTCTTACTAACAGTTTTTCTTGTCATTTTCAATTGAAAATTTTTATTCAATGGTATTTACATTCTGCTTCTTCAGAAAACAAATTGCAAAGAAAAGCAGGAGTGTTCAGTTACTCTGTTTTAGAGATATAAAAGATCTGTTTGAGCATCCCTTGTTCAATCTTGTCTGCAATTGCTTAGTGTTTTTACTTGACCAGGTTCCACAACTTTGTGTGGGGCAACTACCATTGCTTATCTGTTATTTTCTTTACCATTGTGGAGTTTGCTGTTTTCATCTTTGGAACTCTGAAGTCCTTTCATTTTTCCTCCTATTTCTTCTTAGCTACCATCCTATCTTTTTTGGAACTCTGAAGTCCTACCTTGCCGGCTTCATGATACAGTTTGATTTTGGAGTTTCAGGAAATCCAGCAATGAGGCAGGGCAAACCAGGATCTGGAGTTGGGCTTGGATATGGGCTTCGTTTCAAGTCTCCAGTTGGTCATTTTCAGGTTGACTATGCCATTAACGCCTTTCAACAAAAAACTGTCTATTTTGGCGTCAGCAACTTCATATGATGAATTCCGTAAGCCCAATGGTTGCTTTTTCGTGGTTTCCCCAACGATTTAGATGATGATTATTGGGAAAAGTTAGCTATGGAATATGTCATTGGAAGAAGAAGCACTGACATCTTCCTGCTGCTAAAAGGTAGTTGCCTCCGTTCTCGGTCAGTGATGAAGTTGCAAATATCTGGAAGTTTTGTCCACTTGCATTTCCAAGCAATTTGGTCACCTTGAAAGTCAGAGAAAAGCAAAGAGTACTTTTCCTGCTGAAAAATTAAATTTTAGTGTCGAACAGCTTAAAAGAAAAAATGTAGTGTAGAAATTAAAAGTATCTCCATGAGCTCCTAAGAATTTTTTTTACCCACAGAGCTGATTTACTTCTCACATACAAAAAATCAATAGGGTGTAATTCATCATCGTTGGAATTCCCATGGAAGGAAAAGGAGGACATATTCTTTCTGGGCACTCTACCATTGAATTTTCCAAGTTTGTGTCGTGAATTTTCCAATTTCACTTTTTGTGCGGTAAAAAAGTGATTCGTTGGTTGGCCTTGGCCCATGAGATGACTTAGGGAGAGGAAAAAGATGTATTATTGTGTAAAAGCTGTGCATGACTTGTACTGCACGCCAGTGGCAAGTTGAAACTTTCTTTACATGCTAAGATCCAAGCATTGTCCTCGGTTTTGTCAAGCAACGAATATGAAAACGTGGTCAAGCACTAAAGGCCATAGCAGCCCCTCGGTCAGAGACAGAGATACAGCACTGATATTTTATGACTAACCTTTGCTTCTTCTTCTTTTTTTTTTTTTTTTTTTTATATAGAAAAAAACTGAAAGATCAATAATTTATCAAAAGAAAAAACTGTCAAAATAATCCTTCTCTAGAAGACTAAAACAATCAATTCAAACCAGGTGGCCTTAGGCCAAAAACAATGCCACCAACTGAGCTCATCCATCTTCCTTCGTGTCGGTTTGTTAAAAAGAATTAAAACTCTGTGAATGTTTAAACTTTTAAACGGAAAGTAGTTTTTGAAAAAGATTGATTTGAAATCTTTCATCTTTAACTAGCAAAAAAATCTGCCGGTTACTATTTAAAACATTGATGATGTATATTCATTTGTATTATTCAGCAACATTTAGCTTCATTTTTTTTTTCATTATATAATGATATTTTTTATAATTTTTAAATATTTTAAAAATATTTATTATGAAATTTTTCATGACGTTACACTTTGATTTTTTTTTAAATATTTTTTTAATCTATAAATATTTTTTATTTCATTTTGATTCCTTTTTTTATTTTTTTTATCAATTTGGTCCTTTCTCTCTTTTTTTTTCTGTTTGTTAATTAAAAAATTTAAGATAAAAATATTTTGAAAAAATAATTTACAAAAATAAGTTTTTAGCTAAGAATTTATTAATTTTGATATTTTTATACTATTATAAATTTTTTAGTTCACAGATAGAGATAAATAAATAATATTTTAAAATTTATAAAAAATATAAAGAATAATCAATAAAATCCAAAATTTTGATAAAAAAATTATAAAATTGAATGAATTTTTATTCAGTTTTAATTTGATATATTTTGGTATATATATACAATATAATATGAAACATCAAACTAAAATAATTTTTTATAAATAAGTTTGTGTTCTATCCGATTTGCAGCGTAGTACGGGTAAAAAAAACTAGTAACTTACCGACCATTGACACACTCCTACATTAATTATTTTAAACTAATTATGTTTGATAACATGTGAAAAAATTATCAATTTAATAATTTTTCAATTCAAACTCATTTTGAAAAACAATTTCGAACACAGTCTAAATACAGTTAGCATTTTTTTTTTTACTTCAATGATCATGAATCACCTAATAAACTATTCTTAATCTAATAGTTACCACAATCCATTAAATAGACCTTTTCCATCTTTTGTGATGATGATGGTGAAGATCACAGGGAAAGGAGAAGGTGAAAAAGTGGAGAGAAATTTTAGGGTGTTTTTTTTTTTTTTTTTTTTTGTCAGTTGTAAAAACAGTGACTCAAACAGCAATGGAAAAAATAGAAAATTACTTGTTAGTTATTTATTTATTTTTGTGTAGGATTATAATTTATGGTTGGTTCTTGAGAAATCATGGGAAATTAATAAAAAGGTTAATACAGATGGAGGAAATGAATGAATACATTTTGAAATTCATTACATAAGCCACCACCGTTTGGATCTTGGAACCTACGGAGATCCTTTTGCCCAATTATTCCTTACATTTTTATTTTTTATTTTTAACTCAAATTCAAACGCGATGCTGTGAGAAATATGGTGGGGATTACAGATCTTAAAAAAAAAAAACTACACTCCATGTTACTCCATTTTTAAACCCATTAGGTTTTCAAGCTAATAGTGTTGACTTAAATTTGGACTTTTCACACTCTTGCTGATCAATGATTGGGTGAAAAGGTCATAAATAAATAAAACAAAAAGGGCATACGTCACCTTCACTCATTTCTTTCTTTCCATTCCAAGTGGCCATTTTAAAAGTTCGACTAGAAGACAAAACAATCCAAGCAACTTTTATGCCCTAGGGTACAGTGCCCAAATGTAAAGGCAAAAGCTATAGTTGCGGTGGTTAGCCAACACCCATCTGTGTTCTACCAATTATTCATCACTGAAACAATGCATCATCATAGTGTCGGCAACAGCTCATAAAAAGCTTATTATTATTTTATTACAAGGCGACAAAATATAAAACCTAAAACGTTTGAGTAGCAAGCAACGCAACAACCCTACAAAAAACCTTCAATGGGACTGGTATTTATTTATTTTCTAGGGCATCACAGCTGCATTTCATTGACTAACGAATACCATTGCAATCAGACCCTCAATGATGTTGCAAGAAACAAGTGGAATAGAGAGGAGGGGGAGATTGGATCCACAATTCATTATATAAACTAAGACATTGCTCAAAAAGAATAAATAAAACATCAAAATTTGAATTAAAAGAGAAGGAAAGGGGTTGATTTTGGCTCAGATTCTTTAATAAGCTGAGCCCATCACTGTTCCCTCACGTTGCTTTGGCTTACAGCGTTGTTTACTGCATTTTCTTGCGTCCCTCCTTTTGTTCTAAAAGTACATTCACATATGTACAGAACACACACCAACAATAGAAGACAAAAAAATACTCATCCTGCCACTTTCTACTTTCGTAGATAACCTTTAGCAAAAGTAGCTTCTTTTGCTTTCCCACCCCCACTACAAGTACCTAACTCTCTCTTTTTTAAAAAAACTCTTTCTATGTTTCTAATGGCCATCTCCGAGCTGCAACTTCTGGGGTTAAAATTAAGATTGTGGGCAGTTTACGCCTCTTCAAAACCATTCTCCCCAACTTATAAGTTGCTCCAAAAATACCTTACACTTCTTCGTATCTTCAAAACTCTCTTACTCACCTGTAAGAATGTCATTTGGCACAAATCAATGGGAATAAATATGGAAACAAATCAGACAGCAAATAATAACAAAGCAAGCAGAACAAGTTAGGCACCTTCAAAAGGTTCAGATGTCACAAAACAAAGCACTCAAACTTCTAGCTAAGCTGCCAAATATGATACTGTTGTATATTATTGGCCGCCTAATTGGGTAAAAAAAAAAAAAAAACACTACAAGCAAAAGTTTAAGGCACCGTCAAATACAATTTGGTTGATATGGTTGAGTTTTAGCAGTTCAAGAATCTCAAATATAGGGTGTGTCGGGCCGCCCGTCAGCAACAAAAAACACTAGTTAATAACATGGCTTGTATAATATGGTTCGAATGTTTGATATTTGCCACAAAATAACTTCAAGACAAAGCAACCAAAATTTAGCTCAAGAAAACAGGGATATGCTATTCTGTCACAAATCACATATGACTTGCTGCTTATTTCACCACCAAAGAAGATCCCACTAACTCGCTCTCAATTACATCAGCATAGATCAATAAAATAGCAAGCCAGTGAAAAAAATGGCAAAGAATCGAAGGTTTAAGCCCATCCAGGTTAGAATTCTCGTCCCCCTTATTCACACCAAAAGTTTCCATATTGAACAAATTTTATACCGAGATCATACAAAATAGGGTAGAAATTTGGTAAATATGGATTGCACGGTACATGATAATGATAGCAAGACCAATTTTAGACGCAAAACTATATTGCCGTGAAAAAAATCTAACCCTCTAATATTCTAAACCAACATTTGTAAAAGAATGAAAGAAAAAGTGCCATCTTGACTCTGACTTAGCCAAATACCAACTATTGATAACCAACTTTACTTTTCTAGGTTTGATCAAGCCAAACCACCCCACTAACCATCCTACCATCAAACTCAAACTCACTGCGTCAACTCACCAGCTCTAACTCAATCACAACAACAACAACAAAATTAAGCAGAAAATAAAAACTTACCACATTATTAGTCCCGGAAAATGACTTTATCTGCAATTTTCATCAAAGGTTTCAAGCAATTCGGTTCGAATTTCCTCGCAAACAAATACGAACTCGAATAATTGGATTTCCTCAGCTCCTGAATTAAAATCGGAGAAATCTCAGCAGCCTTATAAGTATAAGGATGCCCATTTCTAGTTCCTGTCCAATTAACCCTTGTTAATGTATACCGAGTACAGCCCTTCGGATCCTGCATTGACAACAACGTAGGAAAATAATGTTCTTCTGGGAAACATTCATCTTCTCGATAACACGGCAGCTTGAACTTGTTCCACAGCCTCCGATCCTCAATCACCACGAGCGCGTGTCGGCGCGTGAGAACAAAAAACTGAGACCCAACGCGGAATTTCTCGAAAGGCACCTCTGGCATCATCGCATACCTTCCCCTGGCCACATATCTTTTCCATAACCGCCGCTCCTTCGATATAACCTCGATGAAACTCTTGTGCTCGATTTTCACATTATACTGAGTCGACTCAGGGTCTGACTCGGGGGAAGACAAATCGAAAGATTTGGAAGTAACCAACGAATTGTAGACGTATTTGAAGGAATGCAGAGGGATGCAGTACTGGGAGAGGACGGCGAAGAAGGCGTTGGCTGGGTCGTCGAGGATGGCGGTGGCGAGGAGGCGGCGAGTGGCGGAGATCAAGGTGGGGGAGGCACGATAAGTGCGCTTCGCGTCAGGGATGAATTGGGAATAAAAAATCCCTTCGGGTTTTGTAACATTGGAGTGAGGATCGGCGTGGACGTAAATGTTGAAGAGGTTTTTATCCGCGGATTTGAAGAACTGTTCCCATAAAGGGGCGAAAAAGAGATCTGTATTGGTCAAGAAAAGGAAGGCGATTTTGAGTTTTTTAGATTTGGAGGTGAAATGAGAATGGGCGGAAGGGTAATGGGTGAGGGAGGAGGAAGGGTGGAAGGAAGAGGCGGAGGCTGCGGCTTTGCGGAAGAGGTAAAGGTCATCTTGTTCATCGGAAGGGGAGATAGGGATGGAAGGGTTATGAGGAGGGAAAATTCGTGGGGCTAAAAGAAAAAGGATAGGAAGGGATAGAAGGACAGAAAAAATTAGGACAAATTGTGTTGAGAACATCTTAGGACCAATTTTGATAGAATTTGGACATTTTGTTGATGTTGTAGATGATGTTTCTGGCATGAAAAAGATGATGTTTTGACGGAAAAAATGGAGGTGTTCTTGCTGGTTTGGTATGTGAATGGTAGTGTGGAGTTGAAAGAGGTGGGATTGTGTTGGTGAGAAGAGAGAGGGAGGGAAGGAGGAGGGAGAGGTTATCTCAAGGACTGGGATTGGGTGGGGGGTTTTGGGATCTAATTGGGGGTGTTAGTGTAATTGTAACAGTAATGATGACTAATGGTGTTTTATTTGGGTGGGGATCTGTGTATGGAAAACTACAAATGCCCTCCATCTTATTGGGTATGTTTCAATTTGGTCCCGTTCTATTTATAAACAGTGAGAAGTTCTTTTGGATTCTCAAAACAATCGGGGTGTCATTTTTGGATTCTCATAACTAATACTCCATGGTTTAGGACTAAATGTGCTAAATATTATTAAAAAAAACTCAAAGGAATAAGGTTTTTGAACAGTAATTTTTATTGTTGATATCCTTACAATTCACTGTTCATAAACTGCAAATAAAGATGTTATTTTTGAATATTTATATTCGAAATTTATATAAATTTTTATTTTGGTTTTTAAAAATTTCAAATTATATTTAATTTGTGAGTTGCTTCATCATCTATTATATATAACTAAAAAAAGTGAAGCAAATAAATAGTAAAATACTATTCATTTACCTTAATTCACTATTCATTATATGGCGTTTTTGTAATTTTTTATAATGGTATTTTTATAATTTTTTTTATAGCTTTTTGGACATTCATTTTTAAATTTTACACTTCATTCCTTTTTGGCCCTTTATGTTTTCAAAATATATTTTTAAATCTTCATATTTTTAAAAATATTTTGACATCTCATGTTTTTAACTTAATCTATTTTTTTCAAATATTTTTTCAAAATATATTTTTTATTTCTCATATTTTTAAAAGATGTTTTTGACTTCTTATGTTTTTAAATTTTAGAATAAACATATATATCATATTATATTCTTTATTGATTAAAATTAATCTCTTAAATTTGTCGTTTATTATAAAAATTCTCAACAAATTAAATTTTTATTTTTTTATAAAATTTTATTTGTTAATAAATATGATTTATAATTCTTTGTGTATGAATTTTTAATATGTTTTTTTAATAAATAATAAAATTCACGTGTTTCTTTAACTTATTCTTGATATAATCAATTTTTTTAAATTAAATTTTAAATTATTTTCATTACATTCTATTAACTTTAATATATTTTTTACAACTTACGTTTTTTTGAACGTATTTTTTAATTTATACGAGAGATGGTAATGATGTATACAAAAAAGTATTGAGATCATTAATTTTATTAAAAATTAATTTTGCATTTACACATATAGCATCGGCTATTTCCTATTATTTATTTTTAATATTTTAAATTTAATTTTAAATAAAATAATATTTTAAAGAAACTATCTAATAATTCAAATACATGTTTTTATACCTAATATTATTGATTGTTTTGTGTGTGTGTGTGTGTCTATATATCAAATGTGCATATTTTCAAAAAGTTTTAAAAAATTAATTAGTTAATTTTTATATGAATTTTTATGTATTGCTAATATATTTCTCCGATATAGCCTTATCAAAAAAATATTAAGATATTTTAAAAAATTTGTATTAAATTTTATATTTATATTATTGTAGGTTTTTATTTAAAAATGAGAGAATAGAAAAAAAATGAATTGTGTTTTTTTAACAACAAAATCTATTAAAAACATAAAGAAGCACGAATGAAATACAAAATTTGATTAAAAATTATAAAATTAAATAAAATTTTTATCTTTTTTTTTTAATTTAATATATATTAGTAAGAAAAAATTAAAAGAACTGAGATATTTACTATTTTTTTAGACTTAGATTCACTTTCATTGTGTTGCTTAATTTTTGTCTCTACCTTTTTGTTAATTTCTCTTTTGACACTCGATGGATTTGAGAAACTTTATTTTTTCCCCGATCGATTCTCTTTTTAATTTTATTTTTGGGCCTTTTTTTGTCATTTCTTCTTTTTTTTATTTTTCGGATTGAGCATTTAATGCTCCTATCTTCTTTTAATTTGTTTTTTCAACATGGAAGCTAAAGTCACTTGCTATTCAAGAGTGATTATAGATTTGTGCCTCTTTCTTCAAGAAACAAATTAATTAGTTCACATGGTTCAAAAACTAATTTTTTTTGCCCTTTTTTCTATTTCAATGTTTTTTTTTTTGTTTTAAAAAATAGAGAAATAATAAAAAAATAAGTAAAAATATGAAAAAGAAGACATTTTATAGAATAAAAAATAAATTATTCATGGTCAACATTGATTAAAAAATTAAAAAATTTATTTTCAAAACCAAAAAAATTAATTAATTCATTTCTCAAAATGAGATGAAGCAATTTATAATTTAATTTGCTTGTTCAAGAATCTCTTTATCATGGATTAAGAAGTAAAATTTATAGAAACCAATTTTGTAGCAGTTTTTATTTTAATTTATTGAGTTTAATATATTCCATACAACTTATATTTTTTTTAATATTTGTTTATATATATATATTAGTTTTGTTGGAAATTAATTATGTATCCGCTTGCGTAACTCATTAGCCCCTCTGGTTTAAAAACTATTTTTTTTTGTCCTTTTTGTTATTTCAATATTTTTATTTTTTGTTTTTAGAAATAGAGAAAGAAAAAAATAAGGAAAAAGGTATTTTTAAAAAATAAAAATAAATTATTCGTGGTCAGCACTAATTAAAAAAATTAAATAATTTATTTTTCAAATCAAAATAATTAATTCATTTTTTTTCAAAACAAAAAGAACTAATCTATAATTTAATTTGTAATTCAAGAATCTCTTTCTTCATAAATTAAGAAGTAAAATTTATGGAAACCAATTTTGTAATAGTTTTTATTTCAATTTATTAGTTTTAATATATTTCATACAACTTAAATAGTTATATATACTTATATATATCATTAGTTTTGTTGAAAATTAATTATGTATCCGAATACAAAACACCATTGGTCCCTTTAGTTCCAAAACTAATTTTTTTATCCTCTTTGCTATTTCAATGGTTTTATTTTTTGTTTTAAGAAATAGAGAAAGACAAAAACTAAGTAAAAATATGAGAAGTTTTTTTAAATAAATTATTCGTGGTCAACACTAATTAAAAAATTAAAAAATTTTATTTTTGAAACCAAAAGAATAAATTAATTCATTTTTCAAAATGAGATGAACTAATTTATAATTTAATTTGCAATTCAAGAATCTCTTTCATCATAAATTAAGAAGTAAAATTTATGAAAACCAATTTTGTAATGGTTTTTATTTTAATTTATTGACTTTTGTAATGGTTTTGTTGAAAATTAATTATGTATCTTCATACATAACATCAATTATTTGTTATTTATTCTTTTTTATATTTTAAAATCAATGTTTTTTTAAATAAAATAATTGAAATAATGTTTTGAAAGAACATTTCAATTATTCAAATACAACTTTTTATGCTAATATTATTTATTATTTTATTAATAAATATATATAAATCAAATAATTGTTCTCGGCAAATAAATTTGATTTATATTAATTATGAGAAATAAGATTTTTACCCGTATTATACCATCCAAATCATTGACTTTACGTTTGTAACGATTGTCTAACCGCAGACTTAGCGACGTATCTAACTAGTATATATATATATCAAATGCACATACTTTCAAAATGTATTCTTCTCATTAGTATTAAACAAGAATTAAAAACAAATTATTTGTTCATTTTTATTTAGATTTTTATGTTATTTTATTTTTTGATACAATGTTATTAAAATATATATTTTTAAATTTTATATTTAGATTATTATAAATTTTTTTATAAATAAATGCATAAAAAAGAATAAATCATGTTTTTTTAACTATAGAAAATATTAAAAAATAACAAAAAAATAGATGCAAAATTTTGATTAAAAAATATAAAATTAGATAAAAATTTATCTTTAACTTAATATATTTTTATTAATCAATAGTATAGTACATATTATCAAACTAAAATAAATATATTTAATTTAACCCGTGACGATAACGCAATGCAAGAATCCAACTAGTGTCTTGCTAATTCAAAACTTTCTAATTCTCTCATTATTGTAGCCTTTTAGCGTTTTTTTATTAATATATTGTTGGTTGATAATTTCATTTGGTACAAAGAAAGTATCACAAAAATCTTACTTGGCCAAAAATTTTGAAACATATATGTTTCGATAATACATATTATACCAAAAAAAAAAATTAAAAGAGTTGAACATTTAGTATACAATTCCTTGTTTAACAAACTTTGAATTCCGATTCATGTTCATTTTTATGAATTTCGAGCTATCTTCATGCCTTTATATACGATTTTTATTTAATATTGTATTTTGATATCTCGTTTTTTTTTAAAAAAATATTTTGATTTTTTATTTTATTATTATCGGGATTTGATCCTTATATGCTCGAAATAACGAAACAAAAAGAGCAATAGAGCAGTAAATAAAGTGACAATCGGACCCATTTTCGAAAATTTTGCTTGTATTTTCGGATGTTTATGAAAAGAATTTATATAACAATCATTCTTGCTTTGATCTTTATTGAATGAAAAAGGAAAGCATATATAGGCGTCACCGTACAAGGTCGGTAGAGTTTGTTACAACCATATTCTAAGAATCTTAGAATGGTGATAGAGACCAACGAATATGCTTCTAGAAAGCTGTGGAAGATTGTTTTGTAATCGACTTAACAATGAAGAAATGAAAGGGAAAAACAAATAAAAGAAAAACAAGTGAAGCGAAGCGAAGAACAAAGAAAGAAAATGGTAAGTGGGCTTTTGCTCTGTTTAATTAGGGAGCCCAAAGTACTCTTCTGGGTCTTCTCGTTTAAAGCATAAATGAGCCCATTTATTGGTTGGCCCTTCAACTAGCTTTCTTCCCTTTCTTCAACCTCTACCTTTCGACTAACTTTCTTTTTTTCTTTAATCTCGATCGACTGTCTTCAT